GGACCATATGGGATGCCAAGTATTGAACTTGGTCAGTCGTATGCAAAGCAAATGCCCTTCCAGCTGTACTATTGTTCTGGCCTGCAATCTTTCTTTTTGTGATTGTTTGATAATGTCTTTCATTTTAAAGTTCACACATTTTATCATGAAAGGACCAGAAATATTTACTTTTATTTCTCCCACACAGGATATATTGTAATTCTGGTTTCCAATGGCTAATATTTCTCTTAAAATTCACAAGCATTATTTCTTTTTGGCCTTATTGTTTTTCTTTCTGGAACTCTGAGCAGCTGAAAGCATATGCATGACCCAATTCTTCCTCCACATCTTTTAGCCTTTAGTTTATATTTTCTGCCTTTTCATCTTTCTGACTTTCTATATTACATTCTGGGCTACTTTCTTAGAGTTAAACTTAATTAAATTTTCTCCTAGTACATGCTATTTGGTTTAGCATGCTATTTGATGTGTACATTGAAGTTTTAAACTCAGTGGTTCTAGTTTTCATTTCTAAAGATTTTATTTAATTCCTTTGCATATCTTATTCTTCAATTCATTCTTTTATGTCTTAAGTTATTATATACATTCTTATTTTATCATCTCTATCAAACGGTTCTGTGGCATTCTTAAGCGAATGAGCGTGTGTGTGTGTATGTGTGGGAGTGATTCTGTGTGTATATGTGTGAGTGACTGTGTGTACGTGTGTGTGTTAATGTATGTCTGGGAGTGACTGTGTATGTCTATGTGTGAGTGACTGAGTGCATGTGTGTGTGAATGTATGTGTAGGAGTGACTGTGTGTGTGTATGTATATGTATGAGTGACTTGTGTGAGTGTGTGTGATTGTGTGGGAGTAACTGTGTGTACATGTATTTGTGGCTGTGTGAGTGTACAGATGTATGCACTGATCTTGCTCCTGGTGGAGTATTTCCTTGTATGTTTTGTAATTTGGGGGATCCAGTTCACCTTGGTTAAAAACTTCCAGAGAAGGTGACTGCCTTGCTCAGAGCTCCAAGATTTCATTACAGAGTCACTCTATGAGTTAATTTACTGGGCATAGGTTCTAGAAAAACTCAAGTATAAGCCTGAGCCCCGACTCTGTGTAAGACCAAGTTCCCAGGTTTTTCGGATGTTTCCTCCTTTCCTCCTTAGCCAAAGCTACATGGTTCCTGACCGGGTCCCAGCATGGCCTTCCCTCTGGTTCACCCCGTTTCCCTGAATGGAGGGTCAGATTCGTGTTCCAAGTCATGCTCACAATGTCTTACAACTGTGTCTTGGTTTTTTATTGGGTCACTGAGATCCAAGACTCAGATGACTGTCAGCAGCATCAGGACCTCAGGGCACTGCAGAAGCTGGTCATATATTTATACTGCTCTGTGTTTTTGTGGGGGGTGGAGAGAGAGGCAGCATTTCAAGCAGTGCCTAGAAAACCCGAGGCCACTCCCAGGGATGTTCTGCCAACTGGGCCGGCAGTTCAGTGATAGGTGCCAAGGATGCAGAGCCGTTCAGGTCCTGCAGTGCTGAGGCTCACCAGGACAGCCAGCCCGGAAGTGCCCGGAGGGGCCTCCAGAGCCACACCCAGCTGCTGTGTGAGAGGCCACCTGGTGTTGGGGTTGACACTCAGGTCCCAAGGCCAGCAAAGCACGCATCCCTGATCACTAAGCTATCTCTCTCCCTGTCCCTTCTCTTTTAAAGTTGGAAGTTGGGGATGCCTGTGACTTTCTCATGAACTTTGCGACAAATGTCCAAAGAATGTGCCCTATTTTAAAATGTTTCCTAATTGTAGACTTTTCAGGGTTTTTTTTCTCTGTAATATTGCTAAGAACAGAAGTTTCATTTGCCTATTTCCCTTGATAATAAGATGAGCAAAGCGTTCATTAAATCTACTGAGCTTTATGGGTGTGTCTTAGCGACCTGCTTAGAAAAAAATGGTTTGTCCTGGGCTAGAGAGAGAGATCAACAGGGGCATACATGCTTGGCACGTGGGTGGCCCAGCTCCGATCTCCGACACCACGGGCTTCCCCAAGTACTACAAAGAGTAACCCCCGAACATAGAGCCAGGAGCAACTCCTAAGCAATGCTGGTGTGGACCCCCTCAAAAAAAAAAAAAAAGGAAAGAAAGAAAAAAAAGGAAAAAGGGCTTTTCCTAATTGTTAATTTGGGGGATCCAGTTCACCTTGGATAGAAAAGGAAAGAAATTAGGAAAGAAATTTGGTCCCTCCAGTCCCATAGTTAGGAAAGAAAGAAAAAGCTTCCAGAGAAGGTGACTGCCTCGCTCAGAGCTCCAAGATTTCATTCCAGAGTCCAATATTATTTATGCACACTTCTCTTTTTGGTCATGTTTCTTCACATTTAATATTTAAATCATATAGATGAAGTATATAGAAGCATTAATTATAAGACAACTGACATCTTCCATTATAGCACTAAAGCTATCCAAACAGAAAAAAATACGACTAACATCCACTTGTAAGGCCTATTCCTAACAACCAAACCTCTACTGTATGCCACTGCGATTCAATCTCCTCTTAATGACCCAGTGACACCCCCAGTGTTTGGTCACCTTGATTTGCTGCTCATCCAACCCAACGGCACATTCCAATAAAATCACATTCTCCCAGAAGCTGTATAGCCACTGTCTAGAGACCTGACAGCAAGGCAGCCCCGACAGTGGTGAGACACAGACAGACTGAGCCAGTCACCCCTTCTGTTAGCAAACACAGGACAATACAGAAAATAGAATTACAGCAAAACTGACTCATAGTTAGGAAGCACTGTAGCACTGTCCTCCCGTTGTTTATGGATTTGTTCAAGTGGGCGCCAGTAACGTCTCCATTCTGAGACTTGGTGTTACTGTTTTTGGCATATTGACTATGGCAGGGGGAGCTTGCCAGGTTTTGCCGTGCGGGCGGGATACTCTCGGTAGCTTGCCGGGCTCTCTGAGAGGAGGGAGGAGGAATCGAACCCGGGTCAGCCGTGTGCAAGGCAAATGCCCTACCTGCTGTGCTATGGCTCCAGTCCCATAGTTAGGAAAGAAAGAAAAAAGTCAGGATAAATCCTGTAAAGAACTATTAAGCCATATAGAGCTCTATCTATGGAAAGCTGCATGAGGAGTACTCATGGTGTGGTCTGAGAGATCTACTGGCCAGGGTGTGGAGGTGGGTCAACTGTGTGTCTGGGCCCCAAACAGGGCTGGGTCTGCAGGAAGAAAAAGTGTGGATCAAATGACCTCTCTCTCCACCTAAACTTGAAAACACCTTTTGGAGACCCGTCTACCTCTTTCCAGTCCAGCCCTGGGACCCTCTGCATTTACCTGGACAGAACCAGTAGGGCCCTGTCACTCAGAGACAGGAGACAGAAGCTGTATGTCCAGCTTTGCCTGGACAAATGACACCTTCAGGCCTCAGTTTCCCATCTTTATAGAGAAGAAGTAGGCTTCAATTTGACCAAGAATAAAAATCAGAACCCGACATTTGACTTCCAAGGATAGTCTCTTCAAGAACAATAATAATAACCATAGCTATCATTCATTTTGAATGTCTTTTGCTTATCAAACTAAGCCAAGCATATTACACACATTATCTTATTCAGTCCTCATTAGCTTCCTATGAGGTTGGTACTGTCATACTAATTTTATGTTTATTAAATTCAACAAATACTTATTGTGCCAATTACTGAGACTAAGTAATTTGTTTGAGGTCACATAGTAAGAGATGAGTCAGAATTCAAATCTGCTCTGTATGATTTACTCACTACACTCAGCTAACCATCCATCATCCATCCATCCATCCATCCATCCATCCATCCATCCATCCACCATTCACTCATTTATTCATATATCCACCCATTATCCATCTTTCCAACCCACCCCACCCATACATCTCTCTATCCTCTTCCTCCTCTTCTTCATCTAACCATTCATCCTGTTCCCTACCCAATAAACAGGAATGCTCAGCTATGCAAGCAAGTTTGTAAGAGAATCATGTATCTTTCTGCACACTCTCTCCTCCTCCATCTAACTGCTAAATCTCACATCCCTACATTTTTAAGGCTCACGACACACACTGGTTTTTGTAACCTCTGTACCTTTTCACTAACTTTATCCCTTATATCTCACTCCCAACTGTATCTCTCAGCTCCTTAAGACTTGCTGATCCTGAGACTCCCTTCTCCATGATGTCTTCTTCTTCTTTTTTTTTCTTTCTGGGTCATACCTAACAGGAGTTACTCCTGGCTCATGCACTCAGGAGTTACTCCTGGTGGTGCTCGGGGGACCCTATGGGATGCTGGGAATCGAACCCGGGTAAGCCAAGAGCAAGGCAAACATCCTATCTGTCGTGCCATCGCTCCAGCCCCTTAAAATTTTTTTTAAACAGTTGTTCTGCAGACTTTTTTTTTCTTTTCCTTTTTGGGTCACACCCGGCGATGCACAGGGGTTACTCCTGACTCATACACTCAGGAATTACTTCTGGCTCATACACTCAGGAATTAATCCTGGCTCATGCACTCAGGAATTACTCCTGGCGGTGCTCAGGGGACCCTATGGGATGCTGGGAATCGAACCTGGGTCAGCCACGAGCAAAGCAAACACCCTATCTGCCGGGCTATTGCTCCAGCCCCTTTAATTTTTTTTTTTTTAAAAACAGTTGTTCTGCACATGGCAGACTTTTTTTTTTCTTTTCCTTTTTGGGTCACACTGGCGATGCACAGGGGTTACTCCCGGCTCATACACTTAGGAATTACTCCTGGTTCATGCACTCAGGAATTACTCCTGGCAGTGCTTGGGGGACTATATGGGATGTTGGGAATCGAACCTGGGTTGGCCGTGTGCAATGCAAATTCCCTACCCGCCGTGCTATCGCTCCAGCCCCCTCTGTGATGTGTTCTATGATGAGTCTCACCTTCAGAAGATCTTTTTGTGCACCCACTTCCTCCTTCCTTACCCAGGAAGGCAGTGCCAGGTGGCTGAGACCCATTTGCACCAAGCTGTTCAAATGGCCCTTACCAGATTTCCGACTTGCAGCATCTCCTCAAACTCGGTCGTCATGTTATAGTGCTCGAGTGCCATGAAAAGAGTGTTGAGCACGATGCACATGGTGATGGTGAGGTCGGCAAATGGGTCCATGACCATGAACTTCACTTTCTGCTTGATGGATAGCCAGAATGGGCAGCAATCCCAGATCAGGTAGCGCTGGGCAAAGCGGTTCCAACATGGTGGACATTTGCGGTGAGACTCCTCCAACTCTGGGGGGAGAAGTAGGAGAGAAGGTCTGACTCACTGGCTCCTGGTAAGAGTGTGGGACTCACCTAGGGAAATGGCAAGGCTGTTAGTGAAGGACACGGGGACAGAGAGAAGGGACGGGAAAAGCAAAGTTAACAGGTGACCTCTGTCCTGGCTTCTGACTGTGGAAATGTAAGAGCAGCTCACAGGGGTGGAAGGCAGAAAGGATGTGGGAGAAAACCAGAGGCAGGACAGATGTGGACGTGTTAGAACAGATATGAGGGGTTGGGGTAGGGAGGTGACTGAGACAGGCCAGAAGAGATGTGGACACACGTGGGACGAGAGGGAATAAGATGGAGGTCATAGTGCCATGGTCAGACTAAGACGGATGTGGTATTTCCTGTCCCAACTTGGCTGGGACAGGAATCGGATGCTGGAATGGTACGTAAGGGAAGGGTCAGGAATAGGCTAGCCCAGGCAGGTGTGAGGCAGGCTTGTCCTGGTGGACAGGAGAGGCCTGCGAGAGGACAGGATGAGACACATAAACACAAGGATGGCCAGGACAGAAGCGGAAGGTGGGGAAGGGACACTGGCACGGCCCCTGTGGGTGCCTAGGAAGCCACTATTGCAAAGGAACGTGGACATTTAGACGGAAGGTTCTGGTGGCTGTGGATGTTCAAGGCAGGTGGATCAGCTGGGGATATTGAGATAAGTCTAGACTGGAAGTGGGAGCTCTGGGTGGTTCTGGGGAGGTGTGTGTGGGGGGGTGGTACTGACCTTCCAGTGCACTGGTGAGGACGCTGACCGCGCTCAGGGCCCGCTGCCGCTCTGCTGGCCCCTCGAAGCCATCCATGAGTGGAACCTGAGGGGTGAGCATCTGCGGCCTGCCCGGCTCCTCCGAAGGCGTCGTCTGGGGGCAACCAAGAGAGACAGGTCAGTCTGAGACAGGGCTCCTGCTGGCCCCGAGTCAGACCCCGGGGCTACAGGGGACAGAAGTCTCAAAGGGACACTGCTTTTTTTTTCTTTTTGGGGTAATACCCAGTCATGTACAGGGGTCACTCCTAGCTCTGCACTCAGGAATTACCCCTGGCAGTGCTCAGGGGACCATATGGGATACTGGGAATCCAACCAGAGTTGGCCGCATGCAAGGCAAATGCCCTACGTGCTGTGTTATTGCTCCAGCCCTCAAAGAGACACTGCTTCTGGGTTCCTCTACTCCAACTCCCTCCCAGCTAACCCTCTCCGATCCTCTCACAAATCGCCCTTTTCTGGCTTCCCACCTCGCATCAGTGGGGAGGGAGGAGAGGAAGTTCCAAGCACCAAATGCTGCCCTATGCATCAGATAGAACATGCAAAGACAGTCTGGGAGTTTTCAGGGACCCCAAACTCCCTGGAGCCAAGAGTGTAAAGAAGCTGAAAAATCTTCATGGTCTAAGTGACAGGAAGAGAAGTATAAATCAGAATGCTTACTCCTGGCCCTGGGCTCAGGGAACACTCCTGGCAATGCCTAGGAGACCATAATGTGGTGTTGGGGATTGAATCGAGGTGAGCCACGTCCAAGGCGAGTCACATATCTCCTGTACTAGGTCTTGGACCCCTCAACGCAGGAGTCCCAAGCATCTCCCCCACCCCAGCATAGAACCCTGGGTGCTACTGGAACACGATCTCTCTGATTAAAAACACGGCCTGGCACTCAAAGTAATTAGACGGATCTTGGTTGGCTGAAGGCATCTCTGGGAAGCAGGAGGCTTGTGCTCAGACTGGCTCTGTGCCTCACTTGCTAGCTGGACATAGAAAACGAAGGTGAACGTCTAGCACTGGAAGAAGGATGGCTGATCAGCATCCACCCCTCTGCAGCTGGGCTTTCTCTGACAAAGGGCAAAGTGGACATACCACTCTCTTTCCTACCACTCTCACACGGGGCTAAATGAAACTGAGTGTCCTCGGAGGCAGCTCTGCCACCGGCTGGCTAAGTCCCGACTATGAGCCAGCCTCTGTTTCCAGACTAGACCTAAGCAAGTCGTGCTTCGGGAGGGCCCGGCGGAAGCAGCGAAGGCATTCCCAGGAGCTCAGGGCCTGCTAATCTCTTTAACTTTTTTTTTTTTTTTGGAGAATGTCTCCATCTTGCTCTGCTAATTCCCTTAACTTTGCAAATGACCCCCTTGGCCTGTTAATCCCTTTAAGGGTTACAAATGGGCCCCAAAGCAGTGAGAATGGGTGAAGTCAGAGTTCCCGTAATGAGGTGTTTGAACTTGGATTCCTCCCGACATATGCTGTGCAAGGAGATGATTTTCTCTCTAATGAGATTAGGAAATTCTATTAGCTTTCCAGGCGGCCGACCTGATTCCACAAGGCCGCACTCCAGGGCTGGGCCTGCAGGGCTGCTGTGGTCTCTGGGTCTCAGTACCCGCGGGAAGCCAGGCACCCACCCCCAGGTGCGGACTAGAGGGAGCTCCCAGACGACCCTGAAGCTGTATTTTGTCCACCACGTGTTTCCAGGACCGTCTTTCAGACTCCCCACTCCAGGGGAGGATAAAGGCCCCAGAGACCCTGCAATGCACTGCTGAAACCTCTACCATTTCCTGTTCGGTGATAGCTATAATGGATCATAATAATAGTTACTAGGCACGGGCAGTACTGGTCTGAGTACTGGTCTGACCTGGGCAGGTCAGAGAACTCTTTTGCAGTCCTCACTGCAGCCTGCTGGCATGAATATTTGATGCTTTTAAATAGGGGCCAGGTCCAGAGGTGACCCATAGCAGTGGCCTCCAGGCTCAGCCTGGTAATGGTGTATAGGCCTGGCAATTTGGTGCTCAGGCCCCACGGCGGGTGGGATGCATGTGGTGCCAGGGATCAAGCTCAGGGTCCTGCATACGCCAGGCATGTGATCTTTCCCTTGGCCTGTCGCCCCTGCCTCATGGATATTTATCTTATTCCCACTTTACAGAGGGGTAAGTCGAGGTATGGAGAAATAAACATCTCTTGGACCCACAGTGTGAGTGTCTGAGCGGGAGCAGGACAGTCTACTTTGCCATGAAGCCCACCTTTGTCCTCCTGACCGTGTCCCCATTCTACCACAGGCCTTGGGGGCCTCTCCTGGCTCCCTGTAGGCCTTGCAGTCTGAGCCGCAGGTCACCCTTTCCCCCTGTGAGCAGCTCCGGGCAATCTGCTGGGAGGTTGGGCTGGTGAGCTCTCGGTGGCTGGCCACTGGTCTGTCTCACTGAGTGCTGAGGCTGCTGCTGGCCTTTTGTGATGTGGCCTGTCTCTATGGACAGTGAGTTGCAACTGCATTCTTCTCTACCACACTTCTCCTCTAAGAGGCAGGATGATCTTCTGCCCCAGGGCCTTTGCACTTGCACCCCCAGCCTAGCACACACTTGGCCCACAATAATGCGTTATTAGGGTACTATCACACTCCTGAATGCTGGCACACTGAGCATGGCTGCTTCGCCCAGACATGCTCATGGATCCTTGTGATCATCCCCAAAGGAGTGTTTTTATTTCACTGAGGCACAGAGCAATAAAAGTTTTCTTGTTGCGTGTTCATGACCACCCAGCTGGGGAGCTACGCCCTGGGATTCAGTCAGTTTTTACCTGCATCTTAGGAGCTGAGCGCTCTTCCCCACACACCTCTGTGTTCCTGAAGGCACTTAGCTCTTCCCGAATGGGAGTTCCCTGGTCCCCTTTCCTGCCTTTCTTCTCCTACACCACTTCAGACCTAGTTGATTACTGGCATTGTAAAGTACTGGGATAATCCAGACTTGGTGAAAGATTGCTGCTTCTTTTTGTATTTAGGCTTTTTCTCAGGAAATCTCCCCCAAGCCCCCCAACATGCCCAGGTTCCAGCAGCTCGACAGGAGAAACCGTGGCACACACAGGGACTCCACCATGGAATCTCCATGGCCTGGCCTGGCCAATTGCTGGATATTCTTTTTTTTTGGGGGGGAGGGCGTGGGGCTCCCAAGCAATGTTCAGGAAGCTGGCGGGACACCTGCAGAGCTACTCAGTCACCCGGACCTGACAGCTTAATGCCTGGGCTCAGTGATGCGATCTTGCTTGGGTCAAGCAGTGCTGGGGGCGGCCAGGGCCATGCTGGCAGTACTTGGGGGCCACCGAACTATATCCGGAAACACTCCAGGGCCTCTCCAGGGTTATACCTAGGGCAGCTCAGTGATCTGTGTGATGCTGGGGATGGAAATTGGGGCCCAGGCACATGCGGAGTGTGTAATCCATCCCTCTGCGCGCTCTCCCTGGCCCTAACAATCCAACTGTGCTCACAGTCTATCACCGTTCCATTTCCTTCTTGTTCTGATTTGGGCCTGTGCACCCGCCCTGGGGCCGGCACACGCTGGCAGAGGACAACCCGCAGTAGGTGCTCAGTAAATAGCTGTCGAGGGTTGGAGGGACCTGGTGCAGCGTGGGCTGGCTCACCGTGTCTGGGGGACGCTCCAGCATCATGGGGCGGAGGAGGCGACTCCCCAGGGAGGTGGCGTCACCATCGCCGGCCCCCAGCAAGGAGACCACCCCGTTGCAATCCACGGTGCTGTTTCTTTTGCCATTGAGGACGTGGCCGGGAGTTGAGGCCCCAGGACTTGGCTGTCCCTGAGCACTGGGCCGGCGCAGGGGCCAGGGCACTGGGAGGGACATGCGGTGGCTCTCGCTCTCCCCGGCTGTGCTGTTTTCATCGTCAGCGAAATCGGTCTCGGAACCCAGGTCTCGCCGGCGGAAGGTGAAGATGCTCCCGCGGCTGGAGCGTGGCTTCATCGAGGTTCTGCTGAGGCCGTGGGTGAGGCTGAGTCGATTCTGGAGGGGTAAAGGACCAGGGTGGGAGCTCAGTGAGTGCCCCTCTGGCTTCTTGGTGCAGGGAGGGCTTTAGACGGGCCCCATGGGAAGGGGTGGGTGGAGCTGGGGGCTGATCAGGGAAGAGGAGAAGGACTAGAGGCTATCCTGCACCTTTGGGGTCTCCGCACCCCTAAAGTCCATTCTCGGAACCGGAAGAAGGGGCTCGGGCAGGATCAGGGAGGGCCAGTTAAGCCCCTTATTCATCTGGGAGGTCCCAGCTATCTCTACCAAGGTGTCCCCCTGTCCCCGTGCAGGTTGAGGGTAGCCTGACATTCGAGCCTACCCCAGCCCTGGGCCCTGGGCCCCTCCACTTCTAGAAGGGCCTCGGGGAGCAGGCCAGCTAGGAGGGGGCTCATGCAAGTTCTCCCTGGGGCACAGCTCTGGGGCTGCTGTTGTGCCCGGCCCCTCTGCTGCCAGGCCCAGGTGACAGGGATAGAACAACCCTGGGCATTACCAGTGCTCTGGGGCCATCTTCCGAGTCGGATTTGGGGAACCTGTCATCCCCTCCCTCCTCCGTGCCAGAAGACATTCGTTTTCTCCTCTTGCTCCTTCTCTCGTGCGTGATCACCGGGGCCAATGGGGACATCTCCAAGGAGCTGCGAGACACGGTGTCCACACCCCGGATGGTGAGGGCCTGGAGAGGGAGGAAGGATGGGGTGTCACTGAGTGTGTGGAGGCAAGGCTGAGGATCTCGTTTCCCGAGAGCCGGGGGAGGGGGGTGCAGGCTGCTGAGGAGCTCAGACTGAGGAGGGCGGGGTAGGGGAGAGGGAAGCCTACAATGGGGAGGAGCCATGGGAGAGAAGAGGGGGTGGCAACTAGAAGGCAAGTGTTCTTCTAGAAGGTTCTGCTGAAACCCAGTGCCAGGGAAGGTGCCCTGGGCAGGGAGAAGGAAGTGAATGCCAAAGGTGCTGTCTTCCAGGGCTCACTCTGATCCCTAGTGTGTGGGGCTGTGGGGTACGGGCAGCGGCAGCAGGACTTCCTGTTTATTTGTTTGGGGGAAACACCTGGATGAGCTCAGGGCTCACTCCTGGCTCTGTGCTCAGGGGACCAGATGGAGCACTGAGAATCGAATTGGGGCGAGTTGCTGTATGCAAGGCAAGCGCCTCAACCCCTGCACCGTTGCTCCAGCCGCGGGACTGACATTCTGGGCTGCTCCAGGCTCCAACCTTGGGACTTCCTCACTAGTCCCAAAGGCATCCCTGGAGCAGGCGAAGCTGGGTCCATGACATGAGGGTCTCCCAGTCACCACACCCACACTCACAGGGTCCACCTTGGCCAATTTTGCCCAGCAGGAACCCACTACAGGCATTGTCTTCACCCGGCAGGGAGTTCGTTTTTATCTATACCATAGATACCATACTCACAGACACCAGCCTTACCCAGCACACACCAGCTTGACCCAGCATGCACCCTGCTCACAGGCACCAGCTTGACCCAGCATGCACCCTGCTCACAGGCACCAGCTTGACCCAGCATGCACCCTGCTCACAGGCACCAGCTTGACCCAGCATGCACCCTGCTCACAGGCACCAGTCTTCCCAGCATGCACCCCGCTCACAGGCTCCAGCTTTACCCAGCATGCACCCTGCTCACAGACACCAGCCTTCCCAGCATGCACCCTGTTCACAGGCACCAGCTTTACCCAGCATGCACCCTACTCAAAGGCACTAGCTTTTCCCAGCATGCACCCTGCTTGCAGGTATCAGCCTTATCTAGCATGCACCCTGCTCACAGGCACCCACAATCAGGTGAAGGCTCCATCTGGAGGCTCCTTGGTGCAGTGCTCACCCACCTCGTGTTCCTTCTTGAGCATCTCCATGGCTTCCTGGAAGCGCTTTTCCTTCTCCTCGGTCTCTGCGATGGTGGCTTGGTTTTGCTCCTCGTAGGCCATGGCGACCACGGCCAGGATGAGGTTCACCAGGTAGAAAGAGCCCAGGAAGATGACAAGCATGAAGAAGATCATGTAGATCTTCCCTGCAGACCTCAGTGTCTAGGAGAGCAGGGAGAAGAAGTCATCGTCATTGGGGCCCCCTGGCTGCCTCAGAGTCAGGCATTTGTGAGTGTCCACAGTCTGGCCGGGACAGGGGCACAGCGAAGGGATGGGAGAGCATGTCCACCTCCTGAGGGAAGTGTTCAAGCCTCGACACAGCAGAGACTGCCTCACTGATAGGGGTCAGGGGAAATGGTGCAGCCACAGAGGAGACGAGTCCTTCCCAGGGGCTTCAGGAGCCCCCCAGAGCAGAGGGTGTCCTAGAAACAGTGATGGCTACTGGGTCCACAGGAAAGCCCCTACGTTGTCCTCCTTGTACCCTGACCCACGGGGCACAATCCCAGCGGCTACTGGAGCTCCCCTCACCCAGGTAGGCTGACCACCCCCAGGGGAAGCTGACCTGGGGCGAGGGTGCGGGCAGCAGGGACTGGGCTGAGCTGACTGAGTGTCCTGTTCGCCAGCTGCAGGGTCCTGTTCCCTCCCTCTCAGCCCTGGCTAGTGGAGAAACTACAGAGGCCACTTCCAGCTGGTCACTTGCACCACCCGAGCCCCTGGGTGCACCCACACACCTGTTGGTAGAGGCGTTCCCAGCAGTCCTGCGTCATCAGGCGGAAGAGCGCGAGGAAGGCCCAGGCAAAGGAGTCGAAGCTGGTGTAGCCATGGTCGGGGTTCTGGCCTGCCTTCAGGCAGCGAGAGCCCACAGGACATGTCCTGCGGTCAGAGATACATGCTCTGTCCCCTGTGCAAGGGGTTGTCTGCCCCTGGGACACCCCTGGGCCTGATGTGGGCAGCCCAGTGCAGGCGCATGAGGTCGTATAACACAAACCCAGTGCTACACATGGGTCCTCTGCAACTCCTCAGGTGCCTGCATTGTCCTCCTTGTACCCCGACCCATAGGGCACCATCCCAGCGGCTACTGGAGTCGCCCTCACCCAGAGGAAGCCTGGCCACCCCCATGAGGAGCTGAGCTGGGGTGAGGGTGCGGGCAGCAGGGTCTGGGCTGAGCTCAGCAGGATGAATGAAGCCCAGGATTCAGGGCGGAGACTGGGCCACGGGTTGCAGGACGGCTGTGGGGTGAAGGCAGGGGTCTGGCCCCCTGTGAAGAACGCGCCCAGTCACAGGAGTGCATGCATGGCACACGGGGGAGATCCAGCCTGCACAGGAAAGTGTGTGCGTATTCGTGTGTGTGTGTGTGTGTGTGCATGTGTGTATGTTTGAGTGTGTGCGTGTGTGTGCATGTGTGTACGTGTATGTATGTGTTTGAGTGTGTATGTATGTGTGCATGCGTGTGTACGTGTATGTGTGTTTGTGTGCGTGTGTGTGCATGTGTATGTATGTGTTTGTGTGTGTATGTGTGTGCATGTGTGTTTTGAGTGTGTGTGTGCTTGTATGTGTGAGTGTCTGTGTGTTGTGCGTGTGTGCATGCATGTGTGCGTGTGTATGTGTGTGCGCGCAAGCGAGGTGAGGGGTGTGAGGAGAAGAGGGAGGAAAAGAGGCAGAGAGGGAGAGAGTAGATGGGGGGGGGAGAGGAGGAGAGATGGGGAAGAGAAATAGGGCCATGGGATGACTGGGGACAATCTCTCCAGCCACAGAAAGGGCTCTGGAGAGGCCAAGGAGGGTGAGGCTTGTGGCATTGGAACCCTGACCTGGAGCTCGTGTATGCCAGGGCATCTGGAACCAGGCTAGCAGTTGGCCCAGGTTTTGCTTGCTCACTGGCTTTGGAGGCAGCCTGGCTGCGGGGGAGATGGTTCTCACCCGACTCGTGGCCCTGAGTGGGGTGAGCCGGATGGAAGTCTGTGGAAGGGGGCTCACCCTGGGATGGGAGGGGGAGGGGCCTGCAGGACCCCCTCTGGCTCCCTGGGGGTGGGCAGGCTGTCAGGGTCTGGCAGAGGAAGGCCTGGCAGTTCTGGGGCCAGGGGCAGCGTGGCAGGGGTGCATCAGTACAGGGGCTGCCCTAGCTGGGCAGATGGTCCTGGGCATGGGTGCCACGTACCCGGCGTCCGAGCTGTTCCCACACAGTAGCACGTCCAAGGTTCCTTCCTTCAGAATGTAGTTCTCTGGGAGAGAAATGGCCCAGGTGAGCGGCCCAGACACCTGGGGCTCCCACCTAGTAGAAGCCCTTGGGATTCCCTCCTCATTGCTGACCCTGCACTGGCCACTGGCCTCTGCCCACGCAGCCTCAGATATCCCCAAGGCTTTCTCCTGCTCTCCCTCAGAGGTGCAGCTGCAGGCCCCGTGGCCAGGAGACACGAGACACTCTCAGGGGAAGCTTTGCTGCACCTGCCCATCAAGGCCTCTGGGGCCCTGCCCGAGGTGAGGTGGCGGGGCCTAGGTGGGCGGGTGGAGGGGAGGGTCACTTAACTGCTGAGTCTCTGTGTGGCCCTTGCCTGGCTTGGGGCCCATGTCCTCACACAGGCTCCAAATTCAGGTGTGTGTGTGTGTGGGGGGGGGGGGGGGCTGCGTCAGAGGAGACTGCAATCCCCCTGTCCCCAGTGCCATATCTCTGATCATGTGCCAGTCCCCTCTTCCTGGCTTATGCTTCCAGGCATAAACCTACCATGCCAAGCACTGACCAGGTGCGGAGAGGACCCCCGGGTGCTGCCTCCTACTCACAGGGTAGGCTCCAGAGCCTTCCCGGGAGGCTCAGCACATGGTGTGGCGTCGGAACACAGTCAAACCACAAGCAAGTCAAACCATGCACAGACGGACTGACCATGCCTCTGTGGCCACAGCTGGTCTACATCAGCTACCCGCACTCTGCACGGCCCATCGGGTCCCGGGGCCCCAAACCTGGCCTTGGTACTCGGGGTGATGGACATATTCAGAGATGGGAGAGTTGCTTCGTACTCAGGGTGATGGACATATTCAGAGATGGGAGAGTCAAAAAAAAAAGCAGGGACAGGACAAAGAGGGGCGCCCCTGACCTCATCCAGACATGGAGTTCGTTCTACCTACCCCCTTTCCTGGCAGGGAATGTGGAGTCACCCAAGAAGCCCCTAAACTAAACTGTTGAGGCCTGGAGCCTCTTTAGAGCTGCCCCCCCCAACCCTCCCACTTAACTCTCCCCACCAGCGGCCGAGTCCTCGTCACCTGGCCCTTCTGGCTCAGTTCTGCCTCCATGAGTCACAGCTCTGACCCCCACATCTCACCCCATCCTCCCTGGGGCAGGAGCGAGCAGCAGGGCCTCTGAGGGGACGAGGGGTCCTGGGGTGGGTGGGAACTGCTCTATCCCCAGAGCCTGCCCAGCGCCCCGTCCTGGGTTGCAGTGTGAGTGGGCACCTTTGCTGTTGAGGTAGAGGTCCAGCGACTCCCAGACGCGGCCGTCGGCCTCCACGGAGCCGTTGGTGTCATTGAGCAGCGTGAAGTTGCGCACGCATTTGTGCCGGAGGTTCCCCATGAAGAGCTGCAGGCCGATGAGGGCAAAGACGCTGAGGCAGAAGACGGTGAGGACCATGACGTCGGCCAGCTTCTTCACGGACTGGATCAGCGCCCCCACGATGGTCTTCAGGCCTGGGGGAGGGCAGGAGGCGGCGGAGTCACCTCAGGCTCCGGCTGCCCCCTTCCTGGGGATGGGGAGGCCGTGGTGGCCCCGGGTCCAGGTGGGCCATGACATGGGGGTGCTGAGTAAGGGAGACCTCCCTGGTTGGGGTGCTTCAGGTCAGAGCCCTCCCCGACTTCCCTCCACCTCCACAGTTGTCCTGATTTCCCCCAACCCCCCCGAGAGGGCACCCCATGGCTGAGACTTCCCAGAATTCTTCCTCTCTGGGGGTTCTCTTGGCTCCCAAGGGGAACTGTTAGCACGAATGTGTGCAAAGAGGCCATGACTGGCCAGGAAGCAAACATTAAGTAGGGCCTGTGTCTGGCTGGCTGGGCCCGGGACACCAAGCCTGCCCCTTTGAATGCCTTTTGTTTGGGTATTTTATTTTGGGGGCGGGGCAACACCCAGCAGCAGTCTGGAGCCTCAGGGGTCGCTCCTGGTGGTACTCATGGATTGGTGGGACCACATAGTGCTGTGGATTGAACTCAGGCTTCCCACCTGTAAGGCTGCACCCAGTCCTTGGGGTATCTAGTCAAGTCTGCTCCTTTGACAAAGGGTCCCCCAAGGAAAGAAGCTGGTCAGAAAATGGGGTCTCACAAGGTCTGTGGGCAGTATCCTCAGGGACCTTACCCTGGTTCAGGCCTCACTGCAGGAGTGGAAGTGACCCACGTGACATTCTCTGCTTTGCTCCAGCCCTGGCATCCCAGACCCATCCAGCCCTCCCAACGCTGAGGCCCACTTCCTAGTTGTTAGAAGCCCAGCTGCACCCTGCAGAAGCCCCACACAGCGAGGGGAGGGGACACGTGGCCCACGGCAGCCCTGTGTCGAGTCCGAACAGAGTGCGGGCCCCCGGGGGCCTTCTGTCTGTCAGCAGCTGGCCCCAGGCCCCCTCCCTGCCCAAGAAACCGCCCCCCTCCTCCGCCGCCCTCCACTGCATCCATCCAAGCGGCCAGATCTCAGATGAAGCTAAATCAATCCACTGTCCAGACAGTTAATGTGTGAGGAGCGCCTGTGGCTATGTGCCCGAGACTGTGTGCCCCTGGCCCAGGAACCGGGCAGCGGCAGGCCAACATGGGGGGCAGAGGTCACCAAAGCTGCTGCCTGCCAGGGCTCAGGGGCACGCAGCAATCTGTGGAAATCATCCTGGCAGGTGTTGGCAACTGCCTGGCACAGGGGACCCGGCAGAGGACAGGGGGAGAGGGTGGGGTGGGGTGCTGGTACCATTCATTAACCTTCTGAGGGCCAGAATTCCTCCTTTCTGGGGGTTCTAAGATGACTCAGTGGGCACACTTGGATTCTGCCTACTGAAGCGAGGGGCCGGGGCTGGAGGGAACAGGCCAGGGGGTGGGCGGTGGCCTGCAGTTTGAGTAGCTGCAGAGTCTGGACTTAACCTCACTTGTCAGGCTCCTGTCTGCTTGGAGTGTCCAGCTCAAGGCCCAGTCAAGGCATTTCCTAGGATGCTGGACAGTATCTTCTGGGGAGAACGAGTCGGGAAAAGGAATGGGTTCTTTCTGAAAGACCCAGGCCAGGAGAAGTGTTCTACCAGGCTGGCCATGGAAACCGACCGTTCCGACTTCATTCCATGGGGAAAGCTATCCGCCGCCCAGAGAGACCAAAGGCCCTTTCAGATCCAGCATGGGGGACACCTCCTCCAGAAAAACTTCCAAGATGCAGACCACAGCAGTTTTTGGTCCTCCACTTCTGGGCTGTTGGCAGCTTGTAGAGTTCCACAGGGTCTGGGGCCAGCCTGGCGGACTCCTTTCCCCGCCCAGAACAGAGAAATATGTACCTTTTGCACAAGGAAAGAGACAGACAGAAAGAAACATGGAGTTTCTTATCTGGAGTCTGTATTATGCTTCTGGGCCTGGAGGTTGTCCTTTGACCCCAGAGGCAGACCCCCCAGGCATCTGAAGTGTCTCCATGGGGGGCTACATGGAGGGACTGGAAGCAGACGGCCCCACTTACTTTTGTTTTTTTGCTTTTTTGGGTCACACTGGCGATGCTCAGGGGTTACTCTTCGCTCATGAATGCACTCAGGAATTACTCCTGGTGGTGCTTGGGGGACCATATGGGATGCTAGGAATTGAACCCGGGTCGGCCGCGTGCAAGGCAAATGCCTACCCGCTATGCTATTGCTCCAGCCCCAACAGCCCCACTTACTACTTGCAGAAGTTGGGGCCACTGTTTTTTTGGGAACAGCCCTAGGGCACATCCCTCTGGTGGGTTCAGATGCCAGGAGAGAGACATTCTGGCCCCCAGGGAATCTGTCTAGTAAGACAGTCAATCTTGCCAGGGGGAATCTAAACTCCGAAGAGATATAGTTTTTTTTTTGGGGGGGTGGGCAGTTCTCAGGGGTTACTCCCTTCTCTGTGCTTAGGGATCACTCTAGCTGGTGTTCAGGGAATCACATGGTACCAGGGATGGACCCAGCTGTACACAAAGGTAGTCCCTTCACCCTTGGACTCTCTCTCCAGCCTTCCAGGGAGCTTAAAAAAAAAATCAGGATCCACCGTTTACAGAGGGGGTGTGACCACCTGGCTCACCCCTTTCTCCTGCCCAGCCAGACCCAGGGCACACTGGCTGTCCCTAGAGATGCATCTCCTCCAGCCCTGCGTGGGCTGCCATCCCAGATGGGTTTGGGAAGGGCTTCTGGGCCCTGCCCTCATAGCTCTGAAACCACCGAGCTCTGGGAGTGGGTGCAGGCTGGCATTCTACAGAGGCCATCCGGGCTCCCCAGCTTTGCCAGGGACAGTTGCCAACATCTGTCGGGGAGAATTTCTCCAGTCTACCATGCACGCTTGCTAAACCTCTACCGCACCATGCAGCGAGGGCTGTTAGACGCCAAGGCCCGCGGACACCTGTCCACAGAGTCGCTTCCTTTTACCCGGTGGGCTGGGGCTCTGGCTGAGCCAGGATGGCACTCGGCCAGCAAAGGCATCGCCCTGGGATTTTCTTTTCTTTTTTTGTTCTTTTCTTTTCTTTTTTTTTTTTTTTTTTGTCCCTGCTGGCCATGACTGTGATCTCCCTCACGCCCCTCCTTTGGGTCTCCTTATCCTGGGAGGAAACACTTCCGGCAGAAGTGAGTCACAGCGCTGTGAGCTGTGTAACGAGCTGGTGGCAACCGAACCCTTCTGTTGGGGAGAATTTGGAGCGCCTCCAGGACGGGCCAGGGGTGCGCCGCGCCCCCCTGCTGTCGGTGAGAGTGGGCGCTGCTGGGGGAGGGGAGAGCAGTGTCCAGCGCCGGCGGCCCCCACGCCCGAGCTCTGGGAAGCGCATTCTGGGGACAGGCCTGAGGGTTGCTTCGGCCTCCCCAGCAGGGGCAGCGGCGGCGGCGGTGGCGGGAGAGGCCGGAGCGTGTCCCTGCAGCCTTGGCGTTTAACCTGGTTTTCACCTGAAATGACTGATATTGTTTTCAGGGCCCGGAGGACTCGGAAGGTGCGTAAGGCTGAGACATTGCCCAGGTCCACAAACTCAGTGGTGTATCTGTAACAAGGGAAATGCACACACGACACAGTGACGACACGCCGAGGAGGGGACACAACGGTCAGAGGGGGGTGGGGGTGGGGGGGGACACACAGAGAGAGAGTCACTTGTAGCTGAGATCAGCCAGGCCCACCTGGGCATCTTACCTGGGATAACTGAAATAGTTTTTAGAGCTCTCAGGACTCTGAAAGTTCGAAGAGCCGACAAATTGCCTAGCTTTATATTTTCTGATACATACCTGCAGAATCAAACCACAGTTACCGCAGATTACAAAGCAGCACCTGCGCCCGCCCCCCACACCACACCGCTCCCTCGCCGCCTCCCGCAGGCTGGACGGGTCGGCCAACGGCCTTCTCCCTGCTTTCTCCTTCGGATCTCAACCCTCCGGATGCGGGGACCTCAGCCTGGGGACAGTATGGACGCTCAGGCCCCAGCAAATCCAGACCACTTGGGGAAGGTGACAAGACACCCGGTGGAGGTGGGGGTCTGAGGTGAGGAGACAGGGCGAGGTGAGGAGTACCCAGGTAAGGTGCATTTCCTAGGCCAGGTGCCAAGGGGAGGGGGCTCTGCTCCTCATTTTGCTCCACACCTCCCCTAGTCCAAGATCAGGCTGTTTCAGGCCGAGCCACTGAGGCCCAAGGACAGCCCAGGAGTTCCTGTCATCCACAAATCCCTGGCAGGAGTCCCTCACTTTTCTTTCTTTCTTTCTTTCTTTCTTTCTTTCTTTCTTTCTTTCTTTCTTTTCTCTCTCTCTCTCTCTCTCTCTCTCTTTCTTTCTTTCTTTCTTTCTTTGGTTTTTGGGTCACACCGGGCCTCTTGCACAGGGGTTACTCCTGGCTCATACACTTAGGAATTACTCCTGGCAGTGCTCAGGATGTTGGGATACTGGGAATCAAACCCGGGTTGGCGTGCAAGGCAAACGCCCTACCGCGGCGCTATTGCTCCAGCCCCAGTCCCTCACGTCCTAAGGTGAAGGTGCCAGTCGTGCCCAAGAGATGACGCTTTGGGGAGAGAAGGAGCCTGAGAACACAGCGCACATGGCCGCCACCACTCCCAGTAGCCGATAGAGACACCAGGGCACCCCTGTCCTAGGCATCCTGAAACATGGCCCCGAGGATGGCCTGTGTCCCTGCAGGAGTAAGGACTTGGCAGTGGTCATCCACCTCCTCCGGGTGCACCCTATGTGCCCAGAGGACTGGCCCTCAGTGGTCTGAGTGGCCCTGGGGGTCCCACCTAGAATGTGGACAGTGTCACAGGCCTGAGAGGAAGGAATGGGGACCGGCTGAGTGGAGCATAAGGACACGCAAGGATGGGCCATGTGAGGCCACATCAGAGAGGCAGGGGGGCTGTGTGACCAGCACCAGTGGACAGTGGCAAGTTGACTCATGGTGTTTCACCCAAGGCCTTGTTCCTGGGCGCCTGACGTTTATCCGAGCCGCTGACGCCTCCTGAAGGAGTCGGGGAACTCAGATGGGCTGCCCAGTGACATCAGCTTGATGAGACTGGATGGACGGTGTGGGTGGAAGAGGCAGCTGGACTCATGCACCCTGGACCTCCAGGGCCCTCCCCCGCTCGGCGGCGGGTGCTGGGTGTGGAGGTCACAGCCAGGAGAGAGTTTGGGGCAGGTGGTGGGCTGGGGCCGCACGGTTGCACACGAGTGAGGCTGGAGGCTGCACGTCTGCACAGTGAGGACACGCGTGGGAGAGCGAATCTTGCGGGGGGGGGGGGCGGCGCGGGTTAAGCCTGGCTTGTGGGGGTGTGGGGCTGGAATGTCTGGAACTGTGCTGGGGACCTGGGGGGCTGCCACCTCCCAGAGCTGGAGCCTGGATGGTGGCAAAGCCAGGGGGTTTGGGGGTGGGGGAGAGGGAGCTCCTGTGTCTGGCAAAGAGCCAGCCTCAGCGGTGACCCCAGGCTGGCCCTACCCACCTCCTTACCAGTTTGCTGGGGACAGACAAGTACAGATAAGCAGTGGGCGGCCGTCGGGCACCACTGGCCTGGCATGGGGGTCTGAGGGCTCAGGGTGAGAGTCCTCCCCCTCACACCCTGGGGAGCCCTTTTGGAGGCTGAGGGAGGCCAAACCTTCCCCCCTCCCCATTCCCTTCTCCCCGCCGCACCCCTCTGGAAGGGCTGCCAGGCAGAGGGGACCGCCAGCACCACTCGCTGTGCCTTGCCTGCCACCCTCTCCTCTCTGCCCTCCCTCCCTTCCCTGCAGGTTTGGTTTCCATAACAACCCCAGAAGGTGGGAGGCTGTGCTAAGTAGCAGGTAATGCCCAGCTGGGAGGGGGCCGGAGGAAGAGCTGGTTGGAGGGGCTGCCTGGCAGGTTCCCGGCATCCCTCCCCCGACCCCGCAACCCCCACATGGGTGGCGAGCCTGGAGACAGCACGCTTGGGGGTGGCCTCCTGTGGCTGTCCACTGGGAGACTTGGTTCTAGTCCCATCCTTTAACGGGGGTCGGTGGTAAGAGCTTCGAGTCTCAGTTTCCTCATCTGGAGAATGAAGGACAGGGCCAGGGCGTTTCAGGAGATGGGACTTTTCTGCCCCTGGGGACTCTGGGACGATCCCAGGAGCCCTTTGAGTTACCACACCTCCCTGGCGACAGGCAGAACAGCACTGGGCTGCATTAACCCTAGCACGCGTGCACAGGTTTCATTAGGCGGAACCACCGTCAGTCACAGCTGCTGGCCAAATCTGGCCCTGGCACACATGGGACTTCTCAAGGGGGCCCTGGAGTTACTAGGAGAACGGAGTGTGTCATTCCTGCAAAGCTCAGGAGAGGAAATGGTCTGGTGGCCTGTGACCCCCGTTTCTGTCTGCTTTGTCCTCTGAGGTTCGGCACAGAGGGGAGCCCCAGCAGTTAGTGTGTTGGGAGATCCCATGGGAGTAGGGATGGGCAGTGGGTGGGGGGGAGGTCTCACGTAGGCCTGCCAGGACCCAAGGACACAGCGCGGCCCCCAGAGCACTGGGCTGTTTCTTAAAGTCAGACAAGTGGCTGGGGCCAGGCCTTTGCCTGGGAGTATGGACAACGGGACAGATGCCGTGACACAGTCCTGCTCTGACCTGCCTCCCTCCCAGGGCTCTCCGCTGACCAGTCTCAGGGTCCTCTGGAGTGTGATCAGGTGAGACATTCCTGCTTCTCTCCTCACTGACTCTACCTACCCGAGCAGAACTCCACCCCGGCCATCTGCAATTCTGCCTTCCTTTCTCTGACCAGTGCGGGGGGCCTGGATTCCACCCCTCAAGCCAGACCGAGGGTGTCACTCCTTCCCCCCGCCTCCTGCTATAAACTCCCCTCTCCGCTGAGGGTTCCTCTAAGTCCACCACATACCTCTTCTTATCCAACATCCTCCTTGATCCTGTTTTCCAGGTAGCCATGACTTTGTTTTTTATTTTTTAATTAAAAAAAAAATTGCGGGCCACACTCAGAACTGCTCAGGGCAATACTCTTGCTTCTGCACTCAGAGATCACTCCTGGCAGGGCTCAAGGGACTATATAGGGTGCCAGGGATAGAACCCAGGTTTGGCAGCATGCAAGGCAGCTCTACCTGTTGTACTATTGCTCCAGACCCTCAACTTTTTGTTTTTAGTTTTTTTTTTTTGGGGGGGGGGCGATGGCTTAACAGTGATGCTTGGGGATATGGGGGCTAGTGACAGCAATACTCAGCCCAGTGATGCCGGGGGCCACAGGAGCCAGCGAAGAGATACTCAGGGGTCACTGGGGTGATACCCAGCAGTGCTGGGAGGACACATGCGGCAACAGGGATGGGGCTTGGGGTCTCGCGCATGCAAGGCAAGAGCTCCAGCCCTTTGAGCTCACTCCCCAGCCTTTCTGCTGTGCCTTACTGCAAACCTCGCATAGCTGATGTCCATCCTCGCCCGAATTCCCCTCTCCCTGGGCTCCAAGGAGCCCTCCTGTCCAGAAGATCCCTGAGCTCTACACCCACTCTGACTCTAGAAGTGGGCCCGTGCGTGGTCCTCACTTCCTGGCTCCCTTGTGGTCTCTCCTACATTGAATCAGAGTCTTCGTGGCTTTGAGGACGCCACCCCCTCTCTCCCAGCTCCCCTTCAGTGCTCTGGCCTCCTCTCCCTGACTACGACCCCCCCCTCCCCCGGCGCCATCCCTTCCCTGGCCACTCTCATTCCTGCATGACCTCATCCGGTCTTCGGGCTTAAATGCCATCTGCATCCTGACGGCTTCTAAATTTACATCCCCACCTCGGACCTCGTTCCTGAGCCCCAGACGGGAATATCTAGTTGCGTGCTCGGTCTCGCATCCTGGGGTGCTGGCACACGAAGCCCATTCCATGCGGCACCTCTGATGTGCAGCCTGCCCGCCCCGTGCTTCTCTCCGACCTCCCTCTCCACAGAGGGCGACCCCGTTCACCTCGCAGCTCCAGCTCCAGTTGGCCACCAGCCATGCTTAGTCTACCTAAAAGCGACCGGGTCACCTTCTCCCGGGCACCCCTGTCCCGCTAACGTCCACCCCCTCTCTGGGACCTCCTGAGCTGACCTCCTTGCTGCTATCTGCCGTCTCACCCTCTGCAGCCTCCTGTCTGTCCACAGCTGGGCTGGCCATCACAAAAACTAAGTCGAGCCTGTGGCTCCCGGCCTGGACACCCCCTGGCTCCTTTAGCCATGGCTCCTTCCTATTCCCCTGTTCCCTCTGCTTCCTCACCCCCTGCTCCTCTTCCTCTTATGCCCTCAGCTCTGCCCAGGCCTAAGTCACCTTTGGATTGGGGGGGAGGGAGCAGAGAGGGGTCAGGGTAGTTGCTCCTTAAGCCTCAGTTTCCATATCTGTAAATTGCTGGGCCTGAGTCAATCTCTCCCCATCTCCAGCTGGAAGCCTTGTGGCCACTCCCAGCACTGTGGCCATCAGTGCTGGGCCTGACAGCTAAGTTCAGGCGACCAGGAAGTGCTGGGGGCCACTCTGGAGTGCCCCAGGGCACCACATGACACCAGGGTCTGTGCCAAGTAAGGCACTTGCACTGCCCTTTGGGCATCTCCCTGGCCATTGTTTTGTTTTTAATGGGAGCCACCTGCAGAGGGACTGGGGGGGGGGGTGTCACTGCTGGGCCCTGGAGGTGATGAAAGCCAGCAGGGCCACGCCTGGAGTTCCCCAGGGCTCTCCCGCAGCCCCCAGGAGCCATGCGGTTCCAGGGAGCCCACACAAGGGTTCATACCTCAGAGGCCAGTGCTCCACCATGTGGACCCTCTCCCTGCTCCTTGATGAAGTTTCTGACCACCAGATCCACCCTCCCCTGAAGGCGCCCCTCAGCAGGGTGCAGTTGCCCCTCTTCCTGCTCTCTTCCAGGGGGGACAGGCAGAGGCTCTGCCCAGACAAGGTACATTCAGGAAACCTGAAAATCCTGGACAGCAGGCGTTAAGCAGGACTCTGACTCCCCCTGGCTCAGCACTGTTCTTCCACTGTTGGGGGTTGGGGGGACAGGCCCTGCCATGCTGACCCCTGCTCCTGGCCTACAAGTAGTGCCCAGCTCTGCCCCTGCCAAGCCCTCCATGCCCACCAGGCTTTTGGGAACATGCCCTGGCAATGCATCGTCACCCAAGAACAGAGTATTCACTGCCTGAGACCTGCCCTCCCCCTCCTCCCCTCCCCCACCATGCCTCTGCCTGCACAGCAGGGGCCGAGAACAGGCTCGACCATGCAGAAGAACCACCTGCTCATCTGTGAAATGGGGATAAAAAAAATACCCCAGGGCCCCATCCCGCCTGGGGCGTGTCAGTGAGCAGGTGCCTTTGTGTAAAGCGTGAGACAGGAACTGTCTGGGTAGGAACCGCCAGGGCTGGCTAAGCACCAAGGGAAGTGGTGTCACTTGCAGTTTCACGCTTAATGGCTTTGGAATCCCAGTTACTGTTCCCAGTGACCCAGAGATTTCAGGCCCAAGTACTGGGTGCACAAGGCAGAGGGGATTAAGCCAGTCACCTGTTTGAGGGGGCGGGGGAGGCAAGAGTGGGTTTCGGGAGTGTTCAGGGCTTACTCTTGGCTCAGTGCTCCAGGATCACCGGCAGCGCTCAGGGGAACCATACGTGGTGCCTGAGATGAAACCCAGGCGGGCTGTGTGCCGGGCCAGTGTCCCTGGCCGTGGTGCTCTCTCTCCAGCCACGAAAGCACAACCCCAACGAGGTTCCTGGAGCCTGGGGCTGAAGCAGAGCCCCAGGAGATGGAGCAGCCCAGCCCACCACGCCCGTCAGAGCCCCCCGAACCAGCAGTTACGAGGGGCTATGCTCCACAGAGCCCGTGCAGAGAGAGGTGCTCAGGGTGTGCACGTGGGCGGCATTGTCACGGCAGGGCAGCGCCGGCGATACTTACGCCATGACGATGACACTGAAGTCCAGCCAGTTCCACGGGTCTCGCAGGAAGGTGAATGCATGCAGGCAGAAACCTCGAGCGAGAATCTTGACCAGAGACTCGAAGGTATAAATGGCAGTGAAAGTGTACCTGGGGAGGCAGAGGGGGCAGGGGGAGGGGGGCTTCTCAGCAACGTGGGGCATCCTCCCTCCAGGGCTCTCAGTGCTGGGGTCAGGGGTCGGGCTCTGTCCCCAGGTGTTTATTTGGCAGTGTTTTGTTTAGGGGCCAACCCCTCCCCCCATAACATTCGTTCAGGGGTCACTTCTGGTAGGGCTGGGGGGAACCACATATGGGGGCTGTGATAAAACCTGCCATGTTGCAAAGCGAGTGCCTTCTCCCCTGGGCTCTCTCTCTCTCTCTCTGGCTTCCCGATTTCCCACTGTCCACTACTCTCCCCCAGGCAGACCCTTCCTCTGGCTTCCCAGCTCAGGCACTGGGCAGCCCTGTGGGAAGGAAGGACACTCAATGTTGCGACACTTCACCCTGCAGTGACGAATGAGAGTGGGCAGTCGGGGCCTTAGAGAGGTGAGTGTTCGAGCTCCTGACCCTGGCTGGCAGTTGCTCGAGGTGCTCAGATGCTGCCCGGGGCTGCCATGGGAGAAGTCCACCTGTGCTGCATCCCCAGGGTCAGCAGCCGGACACAGGCCCTGGCTCTGAAAGCACTCCCAGCGCCTGTGTGAACATGGACTGTCGCCCTGCAAGCCACCTTGGTAGCAACCACTGTGCCAGCATCCCATCTTGGTCCTCTGAAAGCGGGAGCCACACACAGCTAGGAGCGGGTGGGGGGGGGTGTGCTCTCTGGTGGCTCTGGAGCCACGGCTGAGTGAGGGCTGAGCAGCAGGTCCTGATGCCCATCCACGGGGAGGTGGGGAGAGCAGAGAGGAACTGAAGAAGGGATGGCCCTGCCCTTTCCCTGCGGGACCACCTCGGGGAGGGTTAAGGGACCCTAAGCTGCGGATCTCGACAGCGCTCGCCTGCTGAGACGTTTGCACGCAGTGTCGGTAAGTGATCACACCACTGCCTCTTCAGAGCCTTCTCCAATGCTCGCCACCCTCCCGAGGGGCAGGCGGGGAGCACCCCCCACTCTGCCGACATGGAGCTCTTTCCCTCCCAAAAGGCACATCTTGGAGCAACCAGATGGCGGTGAGGCTGGTAGTGGGGGCAGGGGATGGGTCAAAGGTCAAGGATTAAGGCTGGCCATGGCCCCTCTCTCGGGGTGGGGGGCTCGGGGCATGAGTGTGGAAGGGGGTAGGCAGGCAGCAGGGTTCTCTGGGAGGCCAGCGGCTACTCACTCGACGTATTTGGTCCAGGGCGGCGGGTCGTGCTGGGCCATGAACACGCAGTTGGTCAGGATGGTGCACATGATGAGCATGCTGAAGAGCGTGGCCGCGTCAAGGAGAACGAGCACAGGGGCCGGCCAGGCCCTCGCCTGCCCCCCCGCCCCCCCTGCCCATCCACCGGACATGGATGCTGGCTGCAGGGCCAATCCCAGAGGTCTTAAAGCCACAGCTGGAGCCCGGCCCCAGCCCCACTGTGGAGAGACCTGGGCTCTTTGTGGCTCTGCGGGCACAGCCCGGGTCCCGGGGCAGGCCTCTGCATCCCTCCAGCTGACCCCTGACCCAGGGTGGGCCTCGAGCAGTGCCTAGGCCTTGTGAGGACAGTGCTGGGAGAGAGGGCGCTTCACTCTGCCCTCTGCTCTGCTGATCCTCCTCCCTCTGCCCCTCAAAGCCATCAGCGCAGCACCCCCAGGAGGGTGGCAGAAGGGCCACCCCACCCCATTAGGATTTTTGCCCAGCGGAATATCCCCACAGTAGAGCACCCCTAGCAGGACAGTCCCTCTCAGTGACCTGCCCAGGCTCCCTGATTTCTGCAGCCTCCACAGCTTCTACAGCCCAGGATATCGGGCCCCTTGCCCCCAACCCCCCGGAGAACCCCAGCTTGTGTCCGCATAGCTGCGTGTTGTTCAGAAGCGGGGCTAAGTCCCTCTGGCTGCAGCTCCAATGGGCTCCCAATGGCTTCCCCACCTCGGCAAGAACTACTGGGAAAATGAGGGCCAGCTCCCACGCAGGGACACTCCGCTGCCCTCACAGAGGCCCACCCAGCCCCGAGGAGAGGCTGAGAGTCAGTCCCAGGGGGGACCCCAGCTCCTACTGCAGTGGATTGCCTTTTTCTCCCTGCCACACCACTGCCCTCTCCACGGCTGGACCCAGAGACACACGCACTAGAGACAGGCCTGCCTGGGGTGCCAAGTCCTGGGGAGAGGGTGAGGCCTCTTGAGGACTCCCGTGAGATGTTCTCCACACCCCCAGCTCCCTGGGGAAAGTCAGGAATTAGTGCAATGCGAAGTCAGCACTCAGTTCAGAACAGATCCTCCAGCTTCTCTGAGCATGAGGGGATCAGGCTTTGGGACTGAATTTCTGTCCAGCGAAAGGTTGGAGCTTGGCATAGCGTCTGCCCATCCCTGCCTGTTTGAGCGCTTCTAGGTCCAGGCCTGTTTGTCTCATCAGATCCCCAGGGCAGGATCTGGGATCACTTTCCCCTTACACACACCTGGCTCCATGCTGATACTCCCACCCTCCCCGCCAGTGAACGCATTCTCACCCACCCCATCAGCCACATCCACCATCCACTGATGTCAGAAAGTACAAAAGTGATGATGCCCTGAGCCAGTACTGGTAGAGCTCCTAACAGGTACCCAGCAGTGCTTTCTATATTCATGAACCAGCTCCTCTGCTACTAGTCCCAGGAGCTGGGGAGTTTCTATTTAACAGTGGTGGAGACCAAGGCACAAAGAGTTTAAGCAGAGGGATAGCGTTGGTAGAATAATGGCTCCCCAAAGACAGACACATCCTAGCCCCCGGAAACCATGCATGCTAATTTGTATGGCCAGGATGGGTACTCGATCATTGTCTGACTGAAACGTAGACACGAAAATCTGTAAGTCTGTAGTAATCCCATGGTGATTCATTAAAAACTAGATTAAAAAAAAATTGTATGGCCAGATGAGATTCAACGATGGATCCTGAGATGAGAGGATTGGGGATTAGCTGGGAGCACCCCACGTCACCATAAGGTCCTTAGAAGGAGAAAAGGAAAGCAGGAGAAATGCAGAGGAGAAGCACTCCAGCAGCTGTGGCTAGCTTGACGGACGGAAGGGGGCCACAAGCCAGGAATTCACACAATTCTACAAACAACCAAAGTCTAGAATACAGCTTCTCTTCTCCCCCTATGTCTCCAGAATAGAACGCAGCCCTGCCGAGTGCCCAGAACATTTTGGAATTCTAAGCTCCAGAACTATATGATAATATATGGACATGGTGTGAAGCTGTGATCATTCATGACAACGGTCAGAGAGAAAGCAGGTTTGGGAGGTGCGGGGGGGGGGGAGGGATGGAGCTGGTCAGTGTAGGCTAGCCCTGATGCAGGCCTCTGCTATGAGTCCTGCTGCTAAGAAGATTTGCACAGCCACCCCACAGTCCATGGGTCACTAGGGATACCCTACCATATTGGCATCAGGCCCTCACCTGGCCAAAGGAGGATGTATTCCAACCTCTGCCACCCACAGGGAGGTTTGAGAACCAGTGAGGGAGCAGTTCATGCCTTTCATGAGTTGCAGATGGCCACCAGGAGGAGGAAAAGGGCTGTCTGCCACTGAGCATCCCTATCTGGTCCTCTGGGGTCCGTGGGGGTGCTTTCGGGGTTTGACACTCAAGAAACCAAACCCGCGTCTGGGCTGGGTTTCCTGGAGGACCTTAAGACAGGCACTGAGGAGGCTCCCTCCAAAGGCTGCTCAGGGTGAAGCCGGTTCAGCCACCTTAGAGCGAGTGGGGATCAAGGCTGACAGACCCTGCTCTGTGGACACACAGCACCCTCTCAGCTGGGCAGAGGCGCCATAGCCGCGGTGGACCGGCCGCCTCCGACCCAAGGCCCAGCCTGGGTGAGCTGAACAGACAGGTGAGCTGAATCCACTCTGAAGACCGGGACAAGCCCGAGGTCACTGCCCTCCAGACTCCTGCCAGCTAGGTTCGCTGGGAAATGGTAGGACTAGCCGGGCTAGGTTTTGTCTTTTCTAGACATAGAAACAACTCTAGGTCTCTTCATGTCATTTGATGGATCAAAAACTCCTGGCCTGGAGGATGATCTTTCTATCACTGCCAATCATTCCTGTGTGTATGTGAGAGCGTGAGAGTATGCACATGAGGATGTACAACCGTCTATGTGAGGGAGTGCTTATATGTGTGTGAAAGTGTGAATATGTGGAAGTGTGTATACGTGAGACTGTGAGTGTGTCTATGTGTATTCATGTACAAGCACGTGAGAGTGTGCGTGTGACTACGTGTGAGCCAGTGTGTGCAGGGGTGCGCGTGTGTGCGTGAACTTGTGTGAGTGTGAGCACACACATAGTCTCTTTGACTTCAGCTCAGCCCTCAGTCTGAGGCTGCCCCAGAGCGTGCTCAGGTCCCCCGCCGAGCCCAGCATGCCGCCAATCCCAGAGGGATGAGTCAAGCATGCTCCGGCCAGCCAGCGCACACCTGTTCGCAGTGCCGGCTGCAGGCTGATGACTGAGCTGGTCCATCGTGTGGGCAGCGGCAGAGGCCAGCTCTCCAGGCAGAAGCTCTGCTGAACATCTTCAATCCTGTGGTGTCATTATCCCGAAACACCCACTCGCAGCCTCCTGATTAAAATGGCAGTGAACGCTGCCTGCGCTGCTGTGAGGGAAAGCCTGTCGGCCCAGCCTTCAGACAGGAAAACTGCCCCAGAGCAGTGACTCGGCCACAGGCAGGTAATGTCCCAGGATGTGTGCTATTAAACGAAAGCATGTACGCTCACACAGATGGTCTGACTGACCATTTGAGTCCGTTCAAGAACCAGGGCTGACTTTGTGAACAGGTTCCATGCACCCAGGAAGGCAGAATGCTTTCTCTATGGAATGTAAGGTCCCTCTGTCTTTGAATCTGGAGTTCAGCTGGTTTCTTTGATTTAATCCTGCCAGGAACATACTCTAAAAACCTTAACAAAAATACAGAGGAAAAAGTATTTCTACATGCCCATATTTAATTTTTAGGCAATTTCCCAGGACCACATTACGAGTGCGGGGCACTGAGTCTTGAGCAGAATGACCAAAGGTCCTTGCAAGGTCCCCAAATGTCCCCTTTCCAAGTTGTATTTTACTTGGGAGGAAGGGCTGCATGCCTAGCCCCCTCTAAGCTGGTCTATGCCGCTCCTTGGCCTTCCCAATGGGTTAGCGTCAACTCAGATGTTTGAGGGATATAAAAATATAAGCCAATAATGGGCCCTGGGTTTGGATTTTGCAAGATGAAAAAGTCCTAGAGATATTTACATGACAGTGGAAATGCAAGCTAACAGCACTCTCACAAGCGATCAAGATAGATAATCAACCTTGTTCATATGTAATTTTGTTTACCGCATTAAAGAAAAGCTAAGCCAAGTGAAAGTTGAAAATTCAAAATATGAAATCTCTGCATGAGATATGAGGAGTCCTGGCTACATGGGAAAAGGCTTTCTTTTGGGGGGCTGATGGAAATGTTCTGAAATTAGGGATGATGGTGATATGACCTTCTGAATATGCCAAAGAGAAAAAATACACCCAAGAGATGTATAATCGAAAATGCTGAGTGGTACGGCATGCATATTCTGCATCCATCAAGTCAGAAAGGAGATGCACAGAGAACTCACAGAGCCCCAAGGCTCCAACTGGCGATGCGAGTCTGGAAAGGACCAGAAATCTGCTCTCGAAGTCGGACACTGGAAACAGCGGCCTGAGGGCATCGGGGAGGGGTGCACAGGCACCCAGGGTGAGGCTCTGCTGACTCGCTACTTTCGGGGGAGCTGGGAGTTAGCCATGCCCGTAAGAACCCACAGGTGCCACTCCAAGCGTCTGAGCCCCGTGCTGTGAAGGGCAGGGCTCCAGGGCACAGAGCCCCCACTGGACAGGGAGTGCAGCAGGGTCAACAACGACTCTCCAGGCAGTGAGTGTCAAAGCTGAATGATGCAGAGACATGCTTCCGTCCTGGGGCACACAGTGCCCCCTCCCCGCAGCCCCCAGAGTTCTCAACATAATTCCTGCCACAGAACCGGCATCTCAGAGCCCTCAGCATGGGTCATGCTGCAGATCCAGCACCTCACAGCCCCAGAGCGGCCATTCCAGGGACTCCCCAGCCAGCCTGGGGTGTCCTGTGCCCTCCCTTCCTCTCCCAACTTCCCTCCCTGGCCTCATCCGCCCCAAGGCCCAGTCCAGGCCCCGCCCCTCCACCCTCCCTCCTCCCTCACCCTTCAGGGCTGCTGTGTGTCCCCTGGGAGCTGTGGTGGCTGCCAAACAGTGCTGGGTTGGTTAGAAACATGGAGCAGAAGCCCCAGGCGGGAGCCTGTGCATGCTTTCAGGGAGGCAAAGGCCCTGGGGTGCACCCCGGGAGACGGGCTCTGGGAGAGGAAGCAGGCTCAGCCCAGCACCCGTCAGCTGGGCGCGGGGTCCAGAGAGCCACTGACCAGCCTCAGGGGACAATGCTGTTTCTCAGGGGCCGAGGACAGAGCCTCGCTCCACTCAGGCTCAGGGGGCCTGCTGTTTTCTTCCTCTTGTTTTGGTTTTGGGGGCCACAGCCAGGGATGCTCCGGACTTAGTCCTGGCTCTGCACTCAGGAATCGCTCCTGGCAGAGCTTCAGGGGACCACATGGGACACTGGGAATCAAACCCGGGTTGTCTGTGTGCAAGGCAAGCGCCCTGGTCTGCCATCTCTCTGTCCCCTTGTTGTAAGTATTCTTCGGTTTTGTTCTGGGGGCCACACTCAGTGGTGCTTACTCCTAGCTCTGCACTCAGGGATCACTCCTGGCTCCAGGTGGGGCTTAGCAGACCTTGAATACAGGTCGGCCGTGTGCAAGGCAAGTGCCCTACCTACTGTGCTATCTCTCCGGCCTCCATCTCAGGGTGCCTGGCGAGGTGGCCGGCACCTACAGGAAAAAGAAGAGAGGAGCAGAAAGAACAGCTCCTAATGAAACGGAGACCCTTACTACCACTTACCAAGCAACATGCAGCTGCGAATGGCAGACTTCCCTGCCCATGGCATCTATCTGTCCACTCCTGAGGGACATGGATGGGGGTAGCTGGGGACAGCAGGCGCTGGGCCACCTGCATGCAGACACATGGTGCATCCTCTTGCAGACAGCACACTCAGTACTGAGTCCCCCCAGACGCCCCCAATTAACACCAGGCACTGGGGTTCTCCCCTACCCTCCCCCAACTAACAACAGGCATTGGGGCTCAGGCAGGGGCCCCTCCTACCATCTACACAGGCAAAGGCCCCCGAGCAGCTCTGAAGTCTCAGGGCCTGTGTGGTGGGTAGTGGGGAGGTCTTTGCTTTGGCCTCAGGATAGGTCCATCCAGAGCAGGGAAGAGAGGGGGACCTGATCCATTTCATCAAGCCAGTCCATCGTCCCCACCCCAGCCAGGTCACCATCACATTCCTGAGCCATCACCTGACAGAAGCTGCAGATACATACACCTGTCCCTCCACCTAAGGCACATTCTTCTAAAGGCCGGCCTCCAAGCCAGCCTGAGTCAGTTGCCTCATGCCAATTTCTCCCCTGCCCCCCAGAAGTGTGAGGTCCCCAGGACACCTCACAGTCCCAATGAAAGCCTGAAGTCACTGCACCAGTCAGAGTGACTGGAGACAGCACTTTGTCAACACCTCATCAGACGGGCGGTGCCTCCCTGGAAAAGACGCGGCCGGAGACACCTCCAAAGCCTCTTTACTGGGGAGCACGATCTCCCCTGCTCAAGGTGCAGGAAAATGGGTGGGAAGGACAGGGCAGGGGGCACAGAGGCAGGGAACTTTTGGAGGCAAGATCAGAGCCGAGGACCACTGATTGTCCATCCTTCTTTTCCTTTGACACACTAGAGAAAGATTTCTTGAATGAATCCATCATACGAACTCTTGTTAAAATGAGGCTGATTCGGCAAGCTCTGGAGGTAGAATTCAAGAGTCTATTATTTGGGGGAGGCTGGAGCGATAGCACAGTGGGTAGGGCATTTGTCTTGCATGCGGCCGAGCTGGCTGAGCCAGGTTCAATTCCTCCTCCCATCTCAGAGAGCTACTGAGAGTATCTCACCCGCATGGCAAAGCCTGGCAAACTACCAGTGACATATTCGATATGCCAAACACAGTAACAAGTCTCACAATGTTACTGGGCCCACTCGAGCAAATCGACGAACTACGGGAAGACAGCACTACAGAGCATTATTTGGGAGGAGGAAGGGAGGTTCTGGGCAAGGGACTGAACCCAGCGAAGTCCACACAACTGTCCTCTGACCCATCTCCCCCACAACCTCCAGGTGATATGCCCACCACATGTCCAAGGACCGGCGGGAACCCCAAACCCAGAATCCAATCGCTCAGCCGTCTGCCCTGTCCATCACCCCCTCCCCAGCGTGTAGGGCCCACACAGCAGGGGCTGACCACAAAGGATATGAATGGACCAGAATCTTCACGGCCGCTCTCCGGATGGGGTGGAAGGGGCTGAGCACATACAAGGCATTGGTGGCACTGAAGCGGAAGATGGTCTTGCCTTTGTTCAGCACGATGAAGGTCTGTGGGCAGAGAGCTGCTTTAGGTAGGGTGACAGCCCCCAGGAGGGGCTGCTGACCCAGAGCCCTAGAACCCTGGGCAGAAGAAGAGAGGGCCTGAGAGGGGGGGAAAGGGAGGCTGGACCCAGGTCGGGTGGGATGGGGCCGAGTTCAGGGCAATGACAGGCTGGGTGGAATTTCACTGAGGTTCAAAATTCTAGTTCCAAGGGTCTTTCTAGAAAGGGGTCCTTTCTCGTCTTAGTCCAGCTGTGGGGACAGCACAGGTCAGGGCACAGTGGGTGCCTACCCTGAAGACTGACCCCTTCTTTCCTGGCCAGCCCCTCCAAGTCCTCCCGGGGAGTGAGGACCTTGCCATGCTGAGGAGCGGGGATGGTGATGGGAGCAGGAAGGGAGAGGTCCTCACTGGGGTCCTGTTCCCTGGAGTCCTGGACAGCAGCTACCCTAGCAGCCCATACCTGTCCACCTTAGTGATGATCGACTGTCTTCTTGTGGTGGCGTCATGAGTCACTCCGGGGGGGACCCTGGCTCTGAGTTTCCAGGACAGAGTGTCCACCCAGCATAGGGGGACTGGGGGGTGAGTACTGGAGGTTGAGCTGCATATAAGGCCAGTCTGAGTTTGGGCCAGACGTAGCCCGTGCCGACCGCTGCCAACCCACCTGCCTAGGCATGGCCGAGAAGCCTGGCTCTGGGGCTCAGCAGGACCACCCTCTGTTTAACCTGGGCAGCTGCAGAGTTGAGCTGATCAGATCAGGACTACAATCTCTGTGATTGGGGATGTGTGTCCCCAGGGGAAGGTGGGCAGTGTGGTTAGGGGTCGGTGAGAGAGATGGACGTTTAGAGGCCAGACTCCTACCTGAGCCACAGGTCATGTGTTGTAGGACATAGGGACAAAAGAAGAGTGTCCATGACTCTGTGTAGGCTTAACTCATGCTCAGGAAACTCACCAGTCCCCAAAGGCAGCGCAGTCCTGACCCACTCTGCCTGACTTTCTGCCCCAGCAAACACCAACCCCATTATCCCTGAACCCTCGACTTCTCTTGAGTGCCAGCCCCAGTGCTTTTTATTTTATTGGGTGTTGGTGTTGGGGGGAGGCGCCTAGGGTCATTCCTAGTGATATTCAGCCTGTAGGTGTGGTCCAGGGGTTCAGTGCTAGGGGGATTACCAGAGCTATAGCCAATGTTGAGGGGGATCGACTGTGAGGTCTTGCACACTCTAGGTATCTGCTTCACCTTTTTGAGTTAAATCCCCATCATCCGACCCTAATTCTTCTTGTGGGGAGTGCCACTCTCAAAAGTATCAGGACCATGGGGTGCGGGGGGAGGGGCCCTGGCCACTGAGCCATCTCCCCAGCCCCTCCAACCCCAATGCTTATGTCCACCTCTGACCGGCTAAGACTAAGACTTGTACAACCCCGTGGCCGATCCCAACTTCCTCAACAGGACTCCCGAGTCCCAGCAACTACAGGGAGCTAGGCCCATCCCTGTGCTTGTCTTCCACCTGGACACAGAGCCCAAGGGCTGTCGCTCACCCCCACTCATGCAGATGCACACACATAGCCCTGGGCTCCGGGCTCTGCACCTCTGAGCACACACGGCTGCCCCATGAACCACGGGCACCACACCTGCTCCTGCACACCGCTCACCCACGTCCTGGCCCCTGACAGCGGCAAAGCCAGCAGCCTCCCCACTCCCTGGAGGCAGACCTTCTGGGAAGGGCCCCCCGTGAGTGGCCCAGGCACCAGGTCCTGAGTCCCAGGGAGAAGCACTCGCCTAGGGAAGGAGGCAGGAGGAAGTTGAGCACCACTCCCCTTTGAGGCGGACCAATGGGCAGATCAGTTCCTCCACCTGTTGCCCCCAAAGGCTGTCTCGGTTCCACTGCCCACGTCCAGGTGCTGCAGAGCCCCCAGCCCAGACCACCAGGCACTACCACATGCCCAGCAAGTTCCTGGGGGGTGGGTAGGGAGCTGTTGGGAGTGGGGAGCGGGGCGGGGGGGTTACTGGCTTGTCAGGATGGGACTCATGCCTGACTCCAGGGCATGCAGACAGCCGGGGTGGAGAGCAGTCTGGAGGGGTGATTCCAGTCTCCCCAGGAAGGGGCTCCCCCTCCTGTAGGCGAGGATTCTGAGGCAGACAGCTGCTCTCCCTCCCTCCCCACAAACCATCTCCAGCGGCACATCCAGGCCTTTTATTCTGGAACTCCCAAAATGAAGGTGACTGGAATATAGATCACCAGTGACTCACCTCCCCCTCCCCCCGCCACCCCAATCCACACGGAGCCCCCGATGGAGGCCCTGCCCTCTCCTGCCCACTCATTCGATGGGAAGACGCCTGGACACGTGGGTGGGTGGTGGGGGCGGCCGTCACCTTCTGGGTGCTGTAGAAGGGGTCCAGGTCCTCCAGGGGCTCCCCGATGAGCTCTCGGGGCGGGTTGCCATAGAGATCTGGCAGCTTTTTGGAGGCCTGCAAGTCCAGCTGGGGCCGGGGAGCCTCCTCCTCCGGCAGCACATCGCGGCTCTCCTGCAGGGTGGCCGAGCCGCGGGCCTGCTTCTCCGCCATGCGCTTCTCGATGGCCGCCAGGGACTCCCGGGTGAACCTGCGGAAGCTGCTGGTGCCCCGAGGTAACAGGAGGTGCGCCATCTTCTCATCCTGCTTCCGGGGCACGGGCTGGCCTCACGCAGCCTGCAGGGGAGCAGAAGGGCAGGTCGGAACAGGGGTCCGACCAGGGCGAGTGGTAGGGGAAGGGGATGTTTGCAAAGATGCTTGTGGACCCCAGGACCACCCCCGCTTTTCTGCCTGGTAGACCGAGTGCCTGCAGGTTTTGGGGGTACTTACGGGGCTCACTCCTCTTTCCCATCCCAATGAGGAAGGGACGGGAGGAGGCAGGGAAGGGGCTATCCAGCACTGCCGCCTGTTCACACATCCCTGCCCCCTGCAGGGCAGGTTCCTCTGCCCACTTGGCAACCCTGGAGACAGATGCCTCGACCAGCAGCCAAACACCCTGGGCTGAATGACCTCGCCATGGGGCAGGATCTAGCCTATCACCTTTCAGCCCAGAGCCTAAGCAGGGCTGGTGCCTGAGAACCACAAGAGGGGACAGAAAAGGCAATGACGGAAATGGGGGCCGTGGACACCTGAAGCTCCCACTGCTTCTCCACCAAGTGCATCTGTACCCACCCAGGCCAGACTGGGGCACTGCCCGTGTTAGCCCTCAAACTGGGCTGCTCTGGGGCTGGAGTGAGAGCACAGTGGATAGGGCGTTTGCCTTGCACGCGGCTGACCCAAGTTCTATTCCCAGCATTCCATATGGTCCCCCGAGCACCACCAGGAGTAATTCCTGAGTGCAGAGCCAGGAGGAACCCCTGAGCATGGCCGGGTGTGACCCAAAAAGCCAAAAAAAAAAAAAAAACAACTGGGTTACTCTGCCCGAGGCTGGTGAGCACGCCATCTGGTTTGCCCTCAGCATGAGGGACAAGCACCTAGATAAGATTTGAGGGTACAGAGGTGCCAACATTTGGCAAGTCACAGGGTGCTGGGTGAAAGAGACATAGGTAAATCCTGGGGGGGTTTGGAAACAGCTGGGGAATACCTCAGGAGCTGCCATCTAGATATTGAAGCCCCAGTACTGGCAGCAGAGCTTGCAGAGAGGGTCTCAGAGAACACCCTCCCCCCGACCACCCAGGATGAGCAACAGACAGACATGCCCCAGGCCTCATTCACGCCGCTTCTCTCCCATCCAAATTTCCAGACACCACGGCTGATTTCAGTCGTCAGCAGAACTAAAAATGGGGACGCCCCCAGTGGCTGGGCTGTCCAGGCAGGATGTGCAAGAGATGCCCAGCAAGGAGACCTTCCAGCGGCCTCCAGCCATCCCTGACCTGCCTATGACAGGGAGGCTGAAGAATGTGCCACGAAAAACAGGATGCGGGGTGCATGGCTCGAGGCTGAGACAGCCCCGGGAGGTGGGGACACCAGTGACCACATCAAACTGGGAACGACTGGCACCAGCTCAAGAGGGCAGGGAACACCTGTTGGAGCTGTCTGCCAGGGCCGAATCCTTTCCGGTCAGCCGCAGGCCAGTGAGGGCTGATTCTCATGCTTGTGCAGTCTGTCACCCCTGACCCCCCCACCCCCCACTGAAGGCTGCAGCTCTAGCCCCTGGTATACACAGGACCAGCGGAAGGCCCCCTTCTCTAGCACTGTGTGGCTGCTCTGTAGCAGGCACCTGGCCAAGTGACAGGTAAACATGGTGCAAACACAACACCTCCACCAGGCCCCCAAAGGGCAAGAGTCCCCAGGGGAAGCGCAGCCCGGAATGCAGAGAAGAGGCGTCGGAGGGAGCGTCGGAGGGAGGTCCCAGGATCCAGGCTTTGGGAAACACCTCCTAGCAGGGTGGTGGGGGGGGTCTTTATCGCCCCCTCCCACAAAGGGAAGTGAAAGGAACAACTCTGTTAAAAATAGCAGGTGAGGTAGTAGGTTCCTGCTTTGAAAGAGCCAGTCCCCTGTCTAGCACTGGAACAAAGACACACGTCTGCTGAGCTGCTCGCCAACAGATAACAGGGAATTTCCTTTCCTTCGCTGGGGTGGGGGTGAGGGGGGAAACTGGGCCATTTTAAACTTTCCTCTTTGTGATTTTATCCATTGTTTGAATTATCTGTGATAGTCTATTATTATTATTTTTATTTTTTACAAAGGAATAAAGTCATTCTTCTTTTGATTAAGAGGAAAATAAAAACCCAGCCTGGGTGACAGCAGCTCTGGGCAGGCAGTTCTCCCTTTTCCTGCGGTCCTCTCCACGGAGAGACAATTGCTGAGTTTCCAAGTCTTTGGCTTGGAATTATTTCCTAACAGTAGTGTTCTCTACTGAGACACAGATCCCATCTCTATCTGTGTCCGCGCTCCGGAGAGGGTTCTAGAGATATGGGCACGCTGGAGGCCCCGTAGAGACTCTAGGGATGGGGAGAGGGCACGCGTGGGTGTGTGCATGGGCACGAGAGCCAGTGTAAAGCACACCTCTATGCGTGCGCCTGCGTGCACATGCGCACCTAGGCGTGTGCATCTGTGTACATGTGTGCATCGCTGCGTGGTGCACCTGTGTTTGTATGTGTGTGAGCGTGTGTGTGTGTGCGTGTCCATGTGTGCGTGTCCATGTGTGCGTGTGCATGGGTGTGTGTACGCACGTGTGCATGTATGTGTGTGTGTGTGTGTGTGCGCGCGGGTGTGGCATGCCAGTGTACATGCATCTCTGTGCATGTGCACAGGCGCCAGTTTGGGGGCAGACGCATCCATATGTTCATGCACACATGTGCACAACCTGAATATACATCTGCTCACTTAAAGGTGTATTTAGAAAACACTGTACTAAAAATCAACCCTCTGTGTACAGATTGGTGAACATATGCTAAGAGTCCTGGTGGACAGATTTCCACAAACTCAATACGCCTGGTAAACAGCACCCAGATGGAGAAATACCCTGGTCCTTTGGCTTGGCTGTTCCTTGAGTCCCCTGTCTCCTACGGTAACTGTTCCTGATGGCGGCGGCAGCCATGAGCTCTGCTAGTTTTCAATGCTCCTTGCACACCCCTTGAGTCGATGGTAAAAGAACTGGTGTGGGGGAAGGGACAAATGGCACCTCATTCTCGTGAGCTGGAGCAGCACTGCAAACCTTTCCTTCAGCTATCAGTGAGGCCAGAGATGGAATCGTCGGCCATGGACTGTGACCGTTCTGCCACTGGCCCGGGACAGCAGCAAGCATCGCCAGTATCAGCAACATCACGAAAACTCATGGCTGCTCAGAATCCCTGGACATACCAGATGCAGCGCTAGAAAATTTCATTCCATGCAGTCATTAAAGAAGCCCTAGCTGAAGGGTCTTGCAGGCCCGGGAGGGAGTTGCCCCAGCAGAATCCCCGCACCCCGAGGCTTGCTGGTTTGAGGAGGCCGACTGCAGGCGAAGCACCTAGCTCCCCAGAGCCGGGCAGCCTCAGGTTCCAAAGTAAACCCACCAGCAGCGCCCTTTGTCTCTGGGTGCCGCGGGCGCTCCCGGGGAGGTGCAGGCTGGCTTCACCCTTGTTCTGCTCTCAGCACCTGGCCCTGCCCTGCCCTTGGCAGCTCAGGGCCCACGCCCTGCCCAGGCCCCACGGAGTGAGCCCTGGTTGCCTGGTTTCTGGTGGTGCCAGGGAGTATTTGGCTCAGCCCTAGATCAGACCCCCACCTTTCTCTGGGACCACCTGCTGCTGCCTGGGGCTGGGTAAGGGGAGCTGAGAAGGGGACCAAATTTGTCCCAAGACCATAACAACTCTGCTAGATGCCCGCGCTCCACTTCTCTCTCCTCTCACCCAGGACAGCTCGCTGCCAAAGCCCCCTACAGCTGCATCCAGGGTAGGTGATGGGGTGGGGGGGGCTCTCCTTCCAGCATACCCTCCTCAGGCCAGTACCCAGTTCTGTTGGACTTCACTGGCATCTTAGAGACCTGCAAGTCCACCCGGTTCTAAGTTTAGCTCCTGGTTCCCAAGGAGCTTCTCTCACTGAGTTCTGCTGGCCCATGAAAGTTTGTGGGTGTCAACCATGAATGCTCTATTTCAACATGGTTCTTCCTGACACGGTGACCTGGGATGCATTCCTACCGAGCCTCAAGACTTCCTAATGGGTACCACAGGTCAGGTCTCCTTGCTCTGCAGGGACCCTCTGGTCCTCCTGACATCTTCCTCCTTTCTCCACCCCATGGGGTGCACCCCCAGTCCCTGGTACACCTCAGTAGTCACCCCACAGTGCCTTCCCTCAATCACCCACCCCTACTAGGACCCCTTCTCTGAAATCTCCACAATTTCCCTTCCTTGGGTTGTGATACTAAGCACCCCCCTGCCCCCGACCCATCCCCCCTGTGGTTCTGATGTCCATGTAGAGAGATGTAGTGGGGTGAGGGGTGGGATCTGAGCTCCCCATACTGCAGGAAAGTCTCTTTCTTTTTTTTTTTTTTTTTTTCCCCTTTATTTTATTTTATTTTTTTTAAAGTTGTAGATTTACAATTTTTTGTGCTTTGGTTTCAATTATACAATGATCAGATACCCATCCCTCCACCAGTGCCCATTTTCCACCACCATGGATAATATCCCTCCCACCCCCATCCCCCCATCCCCCCGTCTCTGTGGCAGGGCAATCCCCTGTGTTCTCTCTCTCCTTTTGGGTGTTGTGGTCTGCAAAAGAGGCATTGAGTGGCAAACATGTTCAGTCCATAGTCTACTTTCGACATGCATCTCCCCTCCTGGGAGGATCCTCCAAACATCCTTTATTTGGTGCTCCCTTCTCTATCTGAATAGCCCTTTCCTCTAGGATACCCGGCTGGCCTCTAAGTTATGGAGTAATCCTCCTGGTGCTGATCTCAGCTATTCTTGGGTATTAATCTCATACTTTGTTACTTTATATCCCCCAGATGAATGCAATCTTTCTATGTCTATCCCTCTCTTTCTGACTCATTTCGCTTAGCATGATAGGAAAGTCTCTTTCTAAGGCAGGTTCACCTCCCCAGTCTCTGGACTGGGTGCCCCACCAGTGAGGAGTTGCCACGTGGTGGGGAGAGAACTTAGACTGAACCTCCCTGCACCAGCTCCTTCGTGGCCTTTCTGGAAGGTTCTCCTGAGCTTGCAGGGCACACAGCGGGTATTCCATCAATGCTTGGTGCC